AGGCTATGCCCAAAGAATGAAGGGAAAGACATTTAGGGAGCACCTACTACGTGCCAGGTATGCTTTTCATTCATCATAAGCTCTTCCAGCAGCTTTGGGAACTAGGTTTTACTATTCCCATTTTAGGGATGAGAAAATTAAGGGCTGAAGGAAAATCAATCTAAGGCTGGCTTGTATTTTAAAATGCCTGCTACAGATTGATGAAAGCAGGTTTTGGATCCAAAGAGGCAACTTTAGAGAAAAGAGTTAGAGAAAAGAGTCCTGGGTTTGAGGCAAAATATCTAAAACTGTGGCTGGCCTCTATCCACTCTCTGTAGTACCAGACAAGTTACTGAAGTCCTCTGAGCCTCAGTTTCCACATTGTAACAAAGGGAAAGTAACTCCACCAGAGGTAGAGTGTTCCCTAATTCTTACGGAGGAACTTAGGAAGCCCTGCAGCCCATATTTGGGTGGGGGTCAGACATTGTTTTGACATCAACAAAACTGTGGATCACCACCATCCAAGTCTGGGGCATGACAGACATGGAACGAAAGGACAGGAGAGCCAGGGGGCTCTGCCAGAGCACAGGAAGGCTTGGGAGGGGTGACAGGTGGCTATCAAAGAGGCCAAGACTATAGGACACAGGCCCTCTCATGCTCACCCGGGAGGACTTGAATCTGTCTGCAGGAGTCAATAATGAAGATACCTGCCTGGTGAGGTTGTTGTGAACTTGAGACAAGTAGGTAAGGAAATGGCCTATCGTGACCTGGCATGTTGCCGGTGCTCAGCACATGTTAAGAGGTGTATGTGTTCTCCCCTTCCCTCTCCTTCCCCCCCAGCAATCAACTGTGTGTTGAGATGTGGCAGGCAGAGCACCTACCTTTCTCTACGCTGAAGGCTCCAGGGGAGGGGGCGCAGCTCCTGTTCTTGAAGAAGACCCCTGATAAGGGATCTAACATGCTGTGAGGAACCCAGTGCTGGCGCAAGGACAGAGCTGCCTGGGAACCTGGGAGAGGAGGCTGAGTTCGGCCTGACCTGGGTTGGAAGAATGAGCAGGAAGTCACCATAGGGACGCAGAGGGAAAGGAACTCAGGCCAAGGTCAAGGAGTGGGGCTCGGTGCTGGCACAGAGCAGACAGTGCTACTTTCTCCCTCCACCAAGCCCAGAGCTCAGCAGAGTCCCAGAGGTGTCTGGGCAATGTGGGAGTCCCTGGTGGTTGCTGGAGGTATGAGGGTAGAGAGCTCGCAAGGCTGGAGGCAAATACAAATTGGCCCAGAAGGTCACACCTTCAGTTTACCGCCTCAGTTTCCTTATCTATAAAATGGGGCCAGATTCCAAAGAGATATGTGAATGACAAACACATGAAAAGATGCTCAACATCATTAGTCATTAGATAAACAACAAGAAGACACCATTTTACCCTACTAGGGTGGCTGTGATAATAATTTAAAAAACCCCAAAATAAGTATTGGCTACGATGTAGAGAAACTGGAAACCTCATGCATTGCTGATAGGGATATGAAATTGTGCAGTCACTATGGAGAACACTTTTGCAAGTTTATAAAAAAAATAAAATGTAAAATTAGCATATGAATTAGCAATTCCACTCCTAAGTGTACAGCCCAAAAGGCTGACAATAGCGACTCAAACAGATTACCTACATGCCAGTGTTCCATGCAGAATTACTCACAATAGTCAGAAAGGTGGAAATAATACAAATGTTCATCAACTGACAAGTGGGTAAACAAAATGTGATATATATATATATGTATATAGACAATGGAATATTATCTAGCCATAAAAAGGAAGTTATGTTAAGTGCTGTGATATTGAAGACATTGTATTAAGTTAAAGAAACCAGACCCAGAAGGATAACTATTCTATGACACCAGTTACATTAAATATCTAAAATAGGCAAATTTATAAAGACAGAAAGATTAGAGGTTACCAGGGCTGTAAGGAGTGAGAAATCAGAAATCACTGTTGGTACAGAGTTTCTGTTTGGGGTCATGAAAAAGTTTTGTAAATAGATAGTGGTGATGACTGCACGAAATTGTGAATGTAACTAATACCATTGAATTGTCAATTCAATGGTAAATGGTAAATTTTACATTATATGTATTTTATCACAATTTAAATAATTATTTTAATCCAACAGAAAAATGGGACCAAGGAACTATAGCAAGAATTCTACTTTAGTTGTCTCGTTAGGAACTGCCCCAGGATCAGGGGAGCCCTGCTGCTGGGACCCCCTGAACTGAGGGTGGGAGAATGAATTGTACTCCCTGCCTCCATCTTCCCAGCTGCCTCCTCATCCCCCGATCCTCTCTCCCTAGCCCCAGCCTAAGGCATTGGAGAAAGTTGGCCAGGACTGGGCCGGCCTGGGCCTCCTCTGAGCAGATGGCTTCACTCTCCTCCTCTCCCTACCCCCAGCCCCCTTAAAGAAGAAGAGACCTTTCTAGGCTACGTCATCTCACCGGAGCTGTAAATGTCAAATTTAAATTCATACTTTGTACCACCTTTGATTTCAAAGCGGATTACACCTCAGTGGTGAAAGGCGGCCGCAGCGCAGGGCCTGAGCAGGCCTCCTGGGTCTCTGCTCGCCCCGAAGCATTGTTAACTCCTTCCAATTCATTAGGTCTAATCCTAGTGGCGCTGAGTAAGGGGCCCTGGGCCGCACCCGGCACTCAAGGCCATATGTGTCCATTGTATCACTTGTCCACTAATCCGGTGCCCGTCGTGGGCACCAGCCCACTGGGAAGGGGCTGTGACCATCAGTTCCAGACTGAGGAGGCCCTGGCCCTCAGTTGGGGGGGCATTCAGGGTCCTATTCTGCTCACAAACCCCCAGAAATCCTGTAAAGCAGGTCACAGAGTCCACAGTGTGGAGCGCAAGAGGTAAGAGTCCTAGGAGGAAAGACAGACATCAGTCTGTCCTGCTGTGCTTCTCTCCCACTGTCTATTCACATATACACGCTTTTCGCACATCCAGGTGCTTACAACACCCTCAGTATACCTGTGCACCTGCACACACTCATACACACCTCACACAACCAGAGGGACACACCCATGTACCCTCAATACATCCACACACACCCATATATTTACATATACCCATTCCCTGCAGAATTTTCCAAGTTTGCTTAAATAAATGAGCCCCTGACATATTTTTTCCCTGATATTTTCAATGCCCAGGATGTTAGAGCTGGAAGGAACTTTAAAGAGAATCAAGTCTCATTTAGAGGTGTGTAGAGTGAGGCATGGTGGGAATGAAGGGGCCTAGTAGGCAGTGGGGAAGGGGTGGAGCCATGAACGCTGCAGCCAGCAGCTCTGCCCTCACTGGGCAATTCCCTTACTGCCACAGGGCCCCTGCAGGACTCTGATAATACAAGACAATGTATGTCTAAGTGCTTTGTTAACACAAAAGCACCCTACACAAGTGTGTAAAAGTCACAAGTGAGTTCCCAAGGTCCCCCATATGTAGAGTAAGGTAAAAGTATCAGGCTTTTCTGCCCTCCTGCCGTCAGGATAGATGACGGAACCCTGCAGTCCCGAATGCATGCCTGATGGCGGGCACCTGGAATAGGGTGTGGGCAGACGCATATGGGATTCACCTGGGCTGAGGACTGGGTTTTTAAGGGCGGCGTCACAGAGAAGAAGCAGAAGCAGAACCACAAGAGAGCAGAGCAGCAGAGACCACCAGAGAACGCTGGAGAGCCCAGACAAAGTGAAGACTTGCTGGGGGCTGGGAGGCCTGCCAGTCAGCCAGCCTCCCAGCCCACCAGTACCCCTGCCTGCCTTGTACCTGGTAAATCCCAATAAAAGCCTGAAAAGCCACTGAGGGCTCCAGGACTCTCTCCTCCTTTACCCCGTCTGCTGGATCAGAAAACCTGCCCTGTGTCCTTTCTGCCCTTATAACATAAGCAGCAGCAAAGGAGACACCAGACCCTACAGCTTAGGCCTCTCTGCCCAGGTTCTCCATGGCTCACAACTTCTCAGAAGAGAAAAGCACCAGGGGCCTCCCCTGGTGGCGCAGCGGTTGAGCGTTGGGTTGCGAGCCGGCTGCCAGCGAGGGTCCCACACACCAAAAAAAAAAAAAAAAAAAAAAAAAAAGGAGCAGTACCAGCCCAGACCCAGGATCTGGGAGGTTTGGGCTAAACAGGCTTCAGCTGCAGCCAGTCTTGACACAGGGCTGTTTGATCAGGCCGTTCCCACATAGTGAACTGAGCCTTATGAGAAATGAGGCTTTTCAGGTGAAGGGAGTAAACTAAGCATGGCTGAGAGTAAACTAACCAGGTTCCCAGACCTGGGCTCCATGCTCCCAGTGCTCACAGCCTGGAGAGAAGTTGCTGGAATGCAGGTGAGCTGAGGGTGACAGGCAGCTAGGATGGGGAGAAAGGCCACCGTGTCACTGACCCTGTCCCCAAGGAGGGGACAGCTCCCTAAGGCCAGCCATACACTGAGGTGCTAGCACAGCACCACTGTCCATGGGTCTTTCGGGCCACCTGTCCATGGGGGAGGAATGGTTCTGTTTCTTCTGACATTTCTCTCAGGCCAAGAAAAGAAAATGTGCACACAGAAATCAGTGGTGTGGGATTCGGCTTCGAGCACACAAGAGCCAAGCACATTTCTTTCCAAGGCCACATTCAGTGACATCACAATGATAGCTTGAAACCCACCATGGCCAGAGCATCTACACCATGGAAATTGCTGAGTGTTACAAACAGGACTTTTCCTCCCAAAAGACCAACTGTGAAGATCACCAGCACCCCATTGCCTATGTTCCCTGCTCCCAGTGGAAGCCTGAAGTGCCAGTACCTAAGTCCCTGAACCCCCTGCCTATGCCAGCCAACGCCACCACCACCTTCTTCCACTTCCGAGCCTCCACTTCTTCAGCCACAAAATTGGGGGAGTATTAAGAGCAGCTGGAGCAGAGCTGCTGGAACGTCAGTGTGCACACGCTCTCTGGAGGGTCCTGTTCAGGGGCCACCTCTGAGGATCAGTCTGGGCAGGGCCTGAAGGTCTGCAGCTCTGAAAGGCTCCAAGGTGATGCTGCTGCCTCTTAACACCACACCCAGTCATGCACAGGTATGAGGCTGCCTTGAACCTCTGACCCTCTCCTTGGTCTCAGGCCCCCTCTTGATCTCTTGTCCATGACCCCTGGTCACAACAAGCCACCTCTGTTCCTTCTCTGATTCCACTCAAGCCAGATCACCACACTCAGACCCCCGGCCAGGGGCCAGGTGTCAACCCAACTTTGAATGGGTCCCCACAAGCCAACTGGAAGTCCCAAAGTTGCTGCCCACCATGTCCCTAGTGGGCCTTAGCCACCTTCTCCCTCAAATGAGTCCTCCACTTGAAGCCAACCTGTCTATTGGCCTGATTCCATGTTGCAGTTCCCTGTTTCCAGGAGTTGCCGAAGGCATCCTGGCTGAGTTTGCTCATGTGTCCCCAACTCCTCTCTGCTCCTTCAAGGACAGCAGAGCAGCTGCTCCCAGGAGCCCTACCTGCCCTCCCTTCCCTCACACCCTCCTTTGGTACCAATCTCTGCATCACCCAAAGGGTTAAGAGCCTTTTCTCAAGTTTGTGTCCCCCACTAGATCAGGGGCTTCCCACAGGGCAGGGACTGTCTTCCCCATCAGATGAGGCGCTCCCCCCAAGACAGTGGCTGGGTAATCTCTCAGGCCAGGGCCTGGCTCTCAGACCAGATCAGGGTAACCTCCTGCTAAGGGTATGTTTCCCCCAGTCAGTCCAGGGGGTCTTCTCGGCAGAGCCCAGTTCTCCAGCAATAATCTGGGGTAGAGAATGCCATGTTTCCTGTTCCTTCTCTGGCTGTCTGTGGGACTAGGGCTTCCTACAGCAGGCTTTGGTTGAACCCCCTCCCCCTCCCACCTTGGCAGCCTTAACCCCACTCTTTGCTAGCTGTGCTCTCTTGGCCCAGTTGGACAGGAGAAAGAAAGGCCAGTACTCGGGGCCGGGGGGGGGGGCTCTCTGTCCAGGGCAGGGTTAATCTGAAGTCTTTTCTCCTTTACTGCCTCCTCCTAGGCCCCCGAAACCTGTACACAGTGCTGCCCCCTGCTCCAGCATGCCAAAGTTCAAGACTCCCAGAGCCACAAGTCACTTGTTAATTAATGGCACTAATTAGCAGGGAAGAAGCTGGACATCTGGACCCTCTCATGGGTGAGCTCAGACCCTTAGCATACTCAGGTTGAGGATGGTTGAGGATGCTTGCCTGGCAGGGGCACCCCCACACATACTCTGAGCACCTAAAAGGGAACAGAGAAGCCAATCAGGAAGGGGGGTGAGGGCATCCCAAACTACATCTCCACCAATCCATCTTCCCCTCACCTCTAGAGTGAGAAATGGAGGGTGCAGGTGCTTGGGACAAAGGGAGGACAGGAAGGAGCTCCTTCAGTGGGGAGCAGCTGAGCCCCTCTTCCTATCCCTGCTCATCTCTCCAGTGGCCTATTTACCACTTAGCCCCCTTCATCCTCAACACCCCGGGATGCTCACCATCATCTCTATTTGAATACTCTTCTAGGATGGAAAATGCTGTGGTTCTAAAACAAAAGCAAAAGTGTAAAGATTCATCATGTCCACCATTCATTCACTCGTTCATTCAACAAATACTTATTGAACACTCCATCAGGCACTGAGCGTGCAGCTGAAGCCACAATATGGCCTACAGTCATGTGTAGCTGAATGACAGGGACACCTTCCAAGAAATTAATGCGTTAGGTGATTTTGTCATTCCATGCAGATATCATAGAGCACAATGCCACAGACCCAGATGGTAGAGCCAATTGGAACCACCAAGGTATGTATGTGGGGCCCATTGTTGACCAACAGATCATTAAGTAACACATGGCTTTACACATACACTGGATTAGTCAGCCATAAAAATAAAATTGATACATGCTACAACATACACAGACCCTGAAAACATTACACTAAGTAAAATAAGCGAGGCATAAAATCAAAACTACCATGAGATACCATCTTACACCAGTGAGAATGGCACGTATTAAAAAAACTAGCAACAACAAATGTTGGCGAGGGTGTGGAGAAAAAGGAACTCTCCTGCACTGTTGGTGGGAGTGCAAACTGGTCCAACCACTATGGAGAGCTGTGTGAGATTTCTGGACCTACTAAACATAGAGCTTCCATATGATCCAGCAATTCCACTCCTAGGTATTTACCCAAAGGACACAGAAACATCAATTCCAAAGAGCACCTGCACCCCTATGTTTATAGCAGCACTATTTACAATAGCTAAGCTTTGGAAACAACCCAAATGCCCAAAAATAGGTGACTGGATCAAGAAGATGTGGTACATATATACCATGGAATATTACTCAGCAATCAAAAAGGATAAACACATGCAGTTTGAAGCAATATGGATGGTGCTGGAAGGGATCATGCTCAGCAAAATAAGCCAGAAAGAAAAAGAAAAATACCAGATGGTCTCACTCATAGCAGGAATCTAGAAAACCTAAATAAGGGACCAGGAAAAAGAATAACTATAAGAAAGTGAAAATCAAAATCAACAAAAAACTATGAACCAGAGACACTCTATGGGGGGTGGGGGGCGGGGAAAGGAGGGATTGGGGTCAAAATAAGGGGGTTGCAATTGTATGGGGAATATAAAAATAAAATTTATTTTTAAAAAAAGCAAGGCATAAAAGGACAAATATTGTATGATTCCATTCACATGAGGTACTTAAACAAATTCTGAGATAAAGCTGAACAGAGGTTACCAGGGATTAGGGGGAAGGAGGGAATGGGAAGTTGTTTACTGGATACAAACTTTATGCTGGGGATGATGAAAGCACAGACAATGGTGATGGCTACACAACACTGCCAATACATCTAAAGTCAATGAATTGTATACTTATCATTAAAATAAATATGATGTTATTCACATTCCAAAAAAATGGAAGTCCCAGCCCTTGTGGAGCTTGGATTCCAACGGATGGATTTAAGAAAATAAAACATTATATAAAAGATGGTAACAAGTCCTACGGAAACAAACCAGAGAAGGAAAGAGGTTTACAGTATTGAATAGGGTGATCAGGAAGGACTTCCTGCAGAGGGGACCTTCCAGCAAAGACATGAAAGAGTTGAGGGAAAAGCGAACCAGGCAAAGAGGACAGAAGTCCTGAAGTGGAAGTGGGTTTGGTGCCCATGAGATGCAGCAGGGGGCAGTGTGGAGCAGGCGGAGGGATAGGCGAGGTCACCGGGCCATCAGACAGGGCCTCACATACCTGGTGTGCTTAGCAGGCTCCTGGTACATACCCCTGAACACCTGCCATGCCTAGCGCCTACCAAGCACCATTCCACCCCCAGCCCCGCCCCTCACACCTTCAAACTCTGCTCCCTCTGTATGTCCCTCCCTCAATAGCCCAACACCCCTTGAACTTCCTAACCTCACGCAACAACATGCAGGCATTTTAGCTCCCCCCCGCACAGCCTTTGGCCCGGCAAAGCCCAGCCCAGCCTAGCTTTAACTTACAATCTGTGCCCCCATTTCACAGATGAGTACGCCAAGGCTCAGATACACGGAATTGCTTCAACTCCTTGACCTGAAGTTTTTAAATTCTGCTTCAGAAGAGAGAGGCCTGAATCCAATCCCATAAAACAGTATCTTAATGCTCTAGGAGGCAACCTTGCAGGGGGGTGTGTGTGCATGCCTGTACCTCCTCTGGCCAGTCCCACGCGAGGTTCGCACTCCAGAAGGAATGCCCACCACAGACCTCAGCAGGGCATAAAGGAGAAGGAAACTGGGGACTGTAGGCTGCTGGGAGACATGACCTCGGCACATCCTATACATGTGAAGCCAGTTCACCTTCAACACATTCAGGAGCACCTCACCCCAAGCCCTCTGGCCTCATTACCTACGGACATGGGCCTCTGGCTCCCACCTTGTTCCCCTGCAGTCTACTCTCAACCCAGGAGCCAGACAGCTTATTAGGCCTACGTCAGATCATGCCCCTCCTTGTTCTAACGCTGCTACAGCTCCCTCCTTCCCTCGAACTCTTTGTGATGACCCTCCAGGTCTACCCCATCTGACGCCTCTGCCCTCTCCTCTCTGACCTCACCTCCTACCCCTCTTTACCACCTTCTCCCTCCCTCACTCCACTGGTCTCCTTGCTCACCTGATGCACCAGGCCCAATCTTGCCTCGGGGCTTTTGCATTCACTGTTCTTTCCTTATTATTTTTTCTTTTCTTATTCTTCTTATTACTCTTATATGTATAGTAATATATATATATATACACACACACACATAACATTATATTGTCATTTTCTTATTATGGTTCTTTCCTTACTATTCCACATGGTTCACCTTGATTAGGTCTTTGCTTAGAAGTCACCTCCTCAGGGATGCCCTCTTTGATGATCCTGTTTAAAACTGAAGCCCCTCCTAGAACGCCCTCTCTAACCGCTTTCCCTTACTTTTCCTCTCTGTAGCTCTTATCCCACCTGACACGGTTTACTACCTCTCTCCCTCGCTACAATGGAGGTTCCATGAGGGCTGACATTTTTATGTGTCACCCCTTATGCCAGGTGCTTTCAAAAGTACCTTGTACCTAGTCAGTCCTCTAAGGGGGGATGAATAAATGGAGAGGTAAATCTATTAGCAAAAACAATGAGGGTAAAGTTCCCACAGAGGGGGTAAGAAGAAGCAAATTGCTATTTATCTTTTTCTTTCTGTGAGCCACGTACTTCAAACTTACTGGTGCTCACAGGGTTGAGGGAACTTCTCCAGCATCATACAGCTGGGGAGGGGGGCACAGCAGGGGCGCCGGGGAAGTGGAGAGGGGAGTTAAGTGTGTCTGCCCCAAAGCCTGTGTAATTTATCCTGCACTGTTCCTACAATTTTGGCATTCTGGCCTCCGGATAGGGTTGCCCCCCCCCCACCCCTTCTCCTCCTCCCACACCACTCCTGCAGACTCTCGGGTTCTGAAACACCGAGGTCCAGGGGTCTGGGTATTTCCGAGCACCCTTGTGACTCGAGCCAGTTCCTGCCACCTCTTCCCACACTTACATTCTCACGGTAAATCCAGGGCTCGTGGGTCCCCCTGGGCCTGCATTCTGTCCCAGACACCTGCATCCCCAGGCGGGACGCCAGCCCCTTCCCATGGCGCGCGCCCTGCAGAGCGCAGGGGAGAGGTGGGGAGATCTGCCGGGTTTGCAGAACTCTAGGCCCACTGTGGAGCACGAGGCCAACGAAGTGTTGCAGAGTGAATGAAGTGAATACACCTGGGGCCCACACGGCCTCGGGCAGGGCTTGCTGGAGAGGGTGGGCCGGTCTCGGGCCTCCTGCGAAAGGCCGCCCCTCTTGGCCACACCCACTGTCCAGACCTGGTTCGGAAGCTCCAGTGGATTCGTCCCGAGCCTGTCTCCTTTAGCTTCTGGTTCGGTCTCCTCAGCGATCAGATTGGGACGTTGCAAAGCACTATTGCCAGAACCTGGCAATAGTATTGCCAGAACCTGGCAATAGTATTGCCAGAACCTGGCAATAGTATTGCCAGAACCTGGCAATAGTATTGCCAGAACCTGGCAATAGTATTGCCAGAACCTGGCAATAGTATTGCCAGAACCTGGCAATAGTATTGCCAGAACCTGGCAATAGTATTGCCAGAACCTGGCAATAGTATTGCCAGAACCTGGCAATAGTAAACAAATGTTAGTAATGAGGTGGGGGGCGGGAGGTTGTGATGGCGAGAAGTTTAGAAGAGGAGGGTCTCCCCAAGAGGACCCACCTGCTGTACCCCTTTCCAGACCTTGCAGGCTCAGAGAAAGGCCAGAAATTGGGGCTTCACGGTGGGAAGCTGAGTCTGCAAAGTAAGACCTGTGAGGAAGGGAACAGAAGTTTGCTGAGCAACTATTTGAGCTCTTGTCTCCTTTTACCTTCAGTGCACTCCACCCCCACCCCCAGGCCATTGCCCGCACCACCACCCCACCCCCCACCCCGCCAACACCTGAGGCACCTTTAAGGCAGTGCCCACCGACTTTGCCCATCTGTCTTTCCTGTTCCGGAACTCCTTGGGGAGGGGGGGCAGGGACTATACCCCTTTTGTGTCCCAGGCCCCTGTGCGCCCAAAGGTAAAGATAGCTTTATCTTCACTTTCTAGATCAGAACATGATGTAGTAAGTTGCAGTGCCTGGGACTGGGCCCTGGTGGAGGCGGAGGGGAGCTGCTAAGGAGAACAGAGCGGGTGGAGCATGGAGGTCCTAAAGGGGCATTGGGGATGAGTGTGGCCTAACAGCCCCTTCATGATGCAGCCTTTGCAACACCATGGCTGTACCATCATTAAGCACTTGCTGTGTACCCTGTGCCATACTGAAAGCTTCACACACGTTAATCTCAGTCCATCCTCCCAGCTCTCTTGGGAGACAGGTTTTATTGGTAGCCCCCATTTTACAGTTGAGAACATAGAGACTAAGGAAGGCAAAGTGACTTGCCTGCCCATGATCACATAACTGGAAAGAGGCAGGGTCAGAATTAGAACTCAGTTCTTCCTGATTCCAAAGTCTATACCATGAACTGCTACCCTGTTTTGCAGCCCTAAGGGTAGGCACCAGCCTCCCTGTCTTGCCTAGATTGCCCCAGTTCCCAGTTCCATATTTGAAACTCATCGATTGATTATTGATGGATGTATTTGTGGTCTGGCTCTGGGGTCTTTCAGGCCCTGGGCAAGGACAGGGATGGGGGTGGAGGGTGGGGGGGTGTTTTCCACCAACCCCAGGAAAGGCCCTAAGGCTGCCCTCACCCCAGCATTCCTGCTTCT